CTGCTTTTCTCTTCTTGTTCAAGGTGGCTTTGGCTACCTTGTGTTTTTTGTGTTTCTATACTAACGTTAGGATTGCTTTTTCTAGCTGTGTGAAGAATGTCATTGGTATTTTGACGGGGATTGCATTGAATCTGTAGATCACTTTGAATTGTATGGACATTTTGTCAATATTTCAGTCCATGAACATCAGATGACTTTCCATTCTTGTGGGTTATTTTTTGTTTTGTTTGGTACTGGGGATTGAACTCAGGGCCTTTGCACAGAGCTACATCTCCAGCATTATTTATTTATTTTTTGTACCAGGAATTGAACTCAGGACCTCATGCTTGCCAGAAAGTTTTTTATTATGAGACAGGGTCTCACTCATTTGTCCAAGCAGGACTTACACTCAGGATGCTCCTGCTTCAGTTTCCCAAGAGTTGGGGTAACATGAATGTACTAGCACACTTGGCCTTTCACTACCACACTTGGCCTTTGTGTATTCTCTTTAATTTTTAAGTGCTTTATAGCTTTAATTATAGAAATCTTCTACCTCTGTAGTTAAATTTATTCCTAGAGGTGTTTTTGTAGATATTATAAATAAGATTGCTTCCTTGATTTCTAGTTCAGATAATTTGCTATTGGTGGGTAGAGAGCTACAGATTTGTTTTTGTAGGACACTTTTTTTTTCATTAAAGTTATGTTTGTAAACTGTTTGCCCAATATAAAGAAAAGACTTACCCCTACAAACCTAAACATGAACATAAACTCTACACAGCTTACCTTACAATCACATGTTTTGGGTTCTAGACGAACTACATCCTCTATACAGACTGCAAGAGTAGAAGACCATGCACACCTGTGTGATGCTTGAGAATACACAAGCAGTTTGGGAAGGATAGGTCTCAGGTACATTGTATACTGTTCTGAGATTGTCTTGCATTCTAGCAAGAGGCCTTTGCTTCATGGCTAGCTAAGCCACATTTGGAATTTCACCTGATCTTTTTTGCACTGCTGGTTTTACTTTATGCTGCACTGGGCGTTGAACCCAGGGCCTTGATCATTCTAGGTAAGTGCTTTACCAATAAGCCACATCCTTAGCCCTACTGATGTTATTTATAAAGTTCGGCGACATCAACATTTGTACCGTTCCCTTGCTGAAGGACTTATCATCGTTCTACTCCTCTGACTTAGTAGAAAAGTCCTCGGAAAACTGAAGTAGTGTTATCTCCTAGTTGCTTTGCATCATAATCCTCACTTCTCACATGATGGCATCCCTTACGTCCTTTCCCTTCATGTTATCCTTTATGCCTCGAATAACCCTCTCCCTCTGCATCTAACTAGGTCATATCCCCATGTGACCTTTGAGACTGTTTCCAAATAATTGTTCCCACATGTATTTCTCTTTAGTTCTAGACAGTCAGCACTTAATCATTCCTGTTTCATGCAGGTTAGACTGTAGGCTTCGTGATAAGTGGGAGTATAGTTCCTCATAGCATGTTATCTGAGGCTGCAGCGCTCAACAGATACTGTTTACTAGCTGTGAAATGTGTCTGATGTGCACAGTTCTTGGATTTTATTAGCTTATGACCTATTTACCATTGGGCTCTCAGTTACAAGTTACTATCAACATAGTTGTCTAAAGGTGAATATTACAACTGTTTTCATTTACATTGGTCTTGAGAATGTGACAATAAGAAACACTGAATGACTGAAGTATAAAAAGTGATTGTTTTATTCCTCCACAAAATATTCTAATGGGATTCTCATTCATCTTTTCTAAAAGGTTCTCCATTGTGTAATTATAATATTGTCTAATTTATTAAAGAGCCTAAAGCATCTTGTTTAAATTGTAAATTTGGTCTGTTTTAATCCCAGCAATAGGTTCACATCACTTCTGTTAACGTTAGTGTATACTCTGTATTTGAAATTGGTGACTGAGAAATATAAAACTTCATTTTATTTGCATGAATTTCTTATGTTCTCCCTATTTTGTCAAAGAGACGTTCAACTTATTTATCCCATTGAGTACTGTAAGAAGGTGGATTTGTGTCCAAGGAAGGAAAACTATTTCCTTACGCCATCATCCTTCTTCTGAAGGCACCTTCATCATATTAGGCGTTTTTTAAAAATGGGACTCTTGCCTTTCATTGTTTTCAACAATACCATGAGATACTGTTTGGTGGAATCATGCTGTTTTAAAAGTGAATGTCTTTCAGAAGTGAGATACCAATTATGACCTCATTTAGTACCCATATAAACTTTATTTTAAGGTAAGGTCTTGTCATGTGGTTCAGACTGGCCTTGAACTTATTATATAGCCCAGGCTGGTTTCAAACTCACAGCACTCCTCCTGTCTTAGCTAGGATTACAGGTTTGTGCAACTATGTCCAGCTTCCCAATTAAATTTATTGTTTTAATTCAAATTAGTAAAAAAAAATCCATATGCGTCTATTTACTCTGCATATGGAAAAAGTACTATGTTCATTGATAATCACATAAATGGGTTAGCTCATTTTTATCAAAAGTTAAGAATAGTTACTTGAAATTAACAGGTTAATAAGTTGTTTTCTGTGTGAAAATGTTACTGGATTATAAATACTGGACTCATTTTATAATATGGGCAATGCTGTAAATTTCATAAAGTTTCTTTGTGAATCCATGAATTAGTAAAGATTCTTTAGAAAGCTACAGAAGTCAAAAAAAATGGTATTAGTGAAAGAATAGACACAAATCAATAGAATCCAGAAATAAATTCGCACAAAAATTGAGAATGATTTTTTGACAAAGGAGGGAAAGCAGTTAGTAGAGAAATGAGAACTATTTTAAAAGTGGTGATAGAAAAATTGGACATCTAAAAACAACAAAAAAAGAAAATGGTATATCTATATTCAGAATAGCAAACACAGCAAATCTCAGCCAATCATCACACATGCAAAAATGAAGTAAAAATAAAGGACCGTTATTCTTCCCTTGTCTCTTCAAAAGTGTGTTGGAATTTGTAGCAGTTAAGCAATAAAAGAAACAGAACTCATTCATATTGGAAAGGAAGACGTAAAGCCATCTCTTTTTTGAAGATGGCATCTCATATAGAAAATCCAGTGGAATCCACCAGAAATTAGTAAAACCAAGAAACAAATTCTGCAAAGTTATAAGATGTAACATCAATTTACAAACTTTATCTGTATTTCCAAACCCTAGTAATTAATAATCTGAAATTAAGAAAATAATTCCATTTCTACATTGCATTAAAAAATGTAAGATTCTTTGTAAAAAAAATTAACTGAGGAAGCTGAGTGTGGTGGTGCAAGCCCATAGTCTGAGACACTTAGGCTGAGACAGGGGATTGCTTTAGCCTAGGAGTTTATTGCCAGCCTGGGCAACATAAGACTTCGTAGCTTATAAAAAAGAAGTTCAAAATTTGTGAGCTGAAAAATATAAAACAACATTGAGCCGTTACAGAACATCTAAGAAAATGGGAAAGGAATCCCAAATTCTTGGATTAGAAGACTTAATACTGTTTTTTATTAGTAGATGTTTGCAGTATGTAATGATTACAATTATTGTGGGGAGTTGGTACATGTATATAACACATTTAATTTTTGTGTGTGTGCTTTGTTTTTTTAATCCCCTATCCTACTCTACTTTCCCTTCTCCTTCCCAGTCTTGGCCCCTCTGCATTTGTAAAAGATCTATTTTTATAATTCTCCTCCTTCAATTCTTTTTTTTCTGCTCCCTTCTCTCTCCCTTTCCTCCATGTCTTCTTATTCCCCATCCATTTGAAAAAGATCTCTGTACTTCCTGTTTATCTTCTACTTTGCATACTCTCTATGTGTATGTGTGTGTGTTACATATGTTATCTATGTAATCATGTATATATACGCATATTTTTCTCATATAAGAGAAGCCATGCGATATTTAAGCTCATGTGTCTAACTTATTTCACATAATATTATGGTCTCAAGTTCTATCCATTTACTTAGGAATACCTCAAGTTTATCTTTCTTTATGGTAGAGTAGTACTCCATTGTGTATAAATACCACATTTTTTTTATCCATTCATCTGTTGATGAGTATATAGGCCATTTCCAAGTTTTAGCTGTTATCATTGTGCTGCTATAAACACAGGTTTGCATGTATCCCTATAAAATGAAAAGACTTAATATTGTTAAGATTACAGTAGTGCAGTAGTTGCCCGAGATTAGCTCCGGAACCCAAGTGGTCCCCAGAACAGTGCTCAAGTCCCTTATATAAAATGATGAAGTATTTGCATATAATCTGTGCATATCTTCTCATAAACTTTAGCTCATGTCTAGATTACTGAAATGCTCTAATACAATATAAATGCTATGTAAGTAGTTGTTATACTTTATAATTTAGGGAATAATGACAAGAACGAGGTGTTCAGTATAGGTGCAGCCACTGTAAACTTACGAACAAAGCAGATGCCTAACAGTGTTCAGACAGTGCTGGAGAGAGGCTGAGGATCGATGACATTGTAGGAGGCTGTAACAGGATATGCACGTACATCGCTGCATGTGGGTTCAGAGTAGTGCTCAATACATGGCAAATTCAAGATTTTCTTCCTGGAACTGGCTTGTGTTTTTTCCCCAAAATATTTTCAGTCCACAGTTGCTTGAGTCTGTAGATGTGGAATCCATAGATAAGGAGGTCTAACTGTATTCCCTAAGTTGATCTTCAAATTCAGCTTATTCCCTATCAAAAACTAATGTGGGCTTTAACCCCTAGAAATTGGCAACGTGTCAGCAAAAGTATTACGTTTTGTTGGATGCAGTGATCTGAGAAGGGCAACGCATCTCATTGTCTGTAGAAGGATGGGGAATTCATTCGTCATCCCCTAAGACCGCGACCTTTGCAGTGTTTTCCCCACCCATGTAACTTTCTCTTTTTATGAATTCTGCCTTTGATACCTTTCTTCAATATTACTGGAGTCAGTGAGAGCCCTATCAGAAGTTAGGAGGCTTCTATCAGTGATGCTCTTCTTTGTTTTCTCCCTATAGGGAAACTGAACAGCCAAGACTCTTACAATAATTTTACCAACAACAACCCCGGCAACCCCCGTCTCTCTCCTCTCCCCAGCTTGATGGTCGTGATGCCGCTGGCACAAATCAAGCAGCCAATGACATTGGGAACCATCACCAAACGGACAGGGTAAGGCACCTGACTCAGTGCTATTTCACAGCTGTTCCAGAGGGTTGAAAGAATAAAAATAAAACATACTTTTTCTTTGTGTGGTTTTGATTATGTTTTTCATTTCCAGCCCATGTGAGATGTCATGGCAGCAGATTAAGTACAAAGTATAGGACGTGCACAAACATCCTTACACACAAGCCCTGTACACACACGCCCATGGAAAAAACAAAGTGGTGACAAGTTGTGAAAACGAGGCTTGGCTAATAAAAACCAGACCCGTCTACACAGTCTGATGGCATTGCCTCAGAATACCGTTCGGTTTTCTTTGTTTTTACAGACATGATTGAGATTGGAGATGATTCCCAGTTTTTGACATGTCTGATAAGGAGAGCACGGGAGTCTGTGTTTCTAGCATTTTTTGAAAATTATATACGTTGAAGTTTGTATATAATCTCAATGTCAAAACAGAGTGGTGATACAGTTTTCAAAAGCTATAGCGTTCTAAGATTTGGGCGTTTTTCCCCCTGCAAGGTTGCTCTTTAGTATCCTTGAAGACTTTTAAGTAGTCATTTAATTTCTTTGTGCTTATTTTAGCCATTTAAAATGTTTATGCCTGGTAGGAATATTAAATTATTTCTTTGGGCTTCTGAACATAAACTCCTATCTGTGATACCATTAGGGATTCAGTTGCAAATAAGCACTAAAAATGCGTTTGTTACTTTAAAATAGGCAAATTATTAGTTGCCCTCAGTGAGAAACTCTAAAGATTAATCAATTTGAATTGGAAGCAGTTCTGTTTTAAAATAGTAAGAAGAAAGCCACTATTGCCCTCAAAGAGACCTCAGAGTCTATCCAGTGAAAAGAATAAAGTATTTTGCTGCTACGGCAAAATTCCTTGATACTGTTTTGTTCGTTGAAGTGTTCAGAGATGTCGTTTCTGTGAGAGCTGCTCCGTGTTCGTAGGAGTGAGTCCTTCGAGGTCCAGCACCCCTGTGACGGAAGTTAACTCTGCCCGTACTAGGTGTGGCGATGTTAGCATATAAAGTGGTCTAATTCTGTGCACAGACATAAGTTGGGATTGTGACATATTAAGGGGAACTAAGGGAAAGTTTGGTGCAGGTTCATTTGGCCTGCGTGGCTTTTAATTTACCTTCTTATGTTCAGTGGACATACGCTTTTAAATAGAATTTTGACATTTCTTCTGCTCATTTTTGACTTTAAGTTAACAATAGTGGGTATGAGCAGTCAAAAAGTGATGTCCTTATTTTCGTAGTTAACGTATCTTTTCAGGTTATGATATCACATTCTCTGGATATAGAATTAAATACAAATGGGACTAAATAGTAAAGCAGAATTTTAAGGTGCTTTTCTTACTTGGCTGAGGTCTGCCAGTACGTATTTATATCTTCTCAATTCACCTCAGCATTGCAGAGTTCTACAGAGTACTTAGGAATTGTGGCATGTGTTTCCTGAGCCTGAGTGGTAGCATCTCCCTAATATTCAGTTCTCCCTTCAGAGAGCGAGGACTGTAGCAAGGTAGTTTAAAAGTTTCCCGGAGAATGAAAGCATATTTTAATAGTTCGTTTCTGGTATGTGTTTATTTGTTGTTGTTGTTACTGTTTTAAACAAAAAAGTTATGCTGTCTTGTAATGCAAAGAATTCTGTCTTTCTCTAATAATTTTCCACAAGTGGCTGTGAGATTATGACTATAGTTTTATGCATAAAATGATATGATGGTGGAATTTAACGTAAAACCTGTGGGCAGGTTTGGGAAGTATGTTTACTGTTGAATAGATTTGAAATTTCATAGAAGAGAAAAAGTCTCTTACTGTCTCCCTCTGTCTTGCTGCCCTCTCTTTCATTGCACTAAAATGGATAGAACTTTCAATCATCTGTTACTTTCCTGTGTTGCCAGAATGTATGAACTTAGGTAAATTCTATTTCCCTTTCTTTCTAAAAACTTTCGAAATTCTCAAATTTTGAGAAAACACACACTGTATTCGCTCATATATAACTTCGTAATTAGTAATGAATGAAATGTTACGAATTTAAGTGCTTTGAAATTAGAGTTAGTGTAAGATATTTATAACATATTGTCAAGTAGGCTTTGTATCTCAGCTTTCAAATTATTTTATTTCTGCTAAGTTTTAAAATTCCTTTTGTCCTGTCCTGTATTCTAGTGTTCAGAGAGAATAATTCTTACTTGGCTTAAAATTTTTTCAAATAATTTCAGGCTTATAAAAATACTGCAAGATAGTAAAAAGAATTTCTCTATCCCATCTCTTAGCAGTTTTAACTTAGTTGCTTTATTACTCAGATTCTCGCGCTGAGTGGACACACTAACGTGCCTTTCCTAATCACGGGGATATATGTTGCAGACTCACTATCCCCTTTTCCTCCGTCCTTCAGTGTGTAATATCTGCAGGCAAGCATATCATATCCTCTTAGGTAACCACAGTTATCATAAGAGATCTTAAAATGAATATTATTAGCTGGTTTTTAAATTAAAAATAATTGTTTTCTGTAATGAGTCCTTGTAACAAAGCTTCAGTGTATCACAAATTATACCATCTACTGTTCTTTTTTCCCTTCCCACTTGTTCTTTTTATCCTTTCCTAGTAATACAGAGTACAGTGACTGGTGAGTTGTTTGATGATAGTGATTATAATTTGGTTTTGACCATTGCTGGATTATAAGACTTTTGACATTAATGCCAGTTGCTGAGGTGTTTCAAGTTGGTATTTGACCTTTCTTATCATAGTTGCACAAAGTTTTCAGAATATTATTTTTGGTTTATCTTATAATTTCACTTCTTTTTTCATAGCCATAACATGTTTCTAAGATTTGCCTAGGATCCAGTATTCAAATATCCAAATTGAGATAGAATCCTCAATTTAAACCTTCAGGGGGCAAGAGTGTGTTTACCATATTAAACATCTGTCCTCTTATTTTTACAAATATATATCCCTGAAAGCCTGTGCAGTGTCAGGGACCATCTGTCTCTCTCCAAGACATATATGAGGCCAGTGAAACTACAAATGGCAAAAGACAGATGTATTTACACCTTCTTGCTCAGTACCTCGGAGCAGCTCTTGAAGGAAAGAAGGCCTGAGTTGGCAACAGCTGCTGCTTACGTCTCATGGATGAAGGCAAAGGAAGTGTTAGAAATTATTTGGCTTCAACGATTATCCATTCAAATACAATCTAGTATCTGTCAGAAACAGTTGGGTTGCAAAGCCCGGCTTCCCACATTATCGCATTTTTATCATACAAAAATAAGAATAACTCTTCTTTAAAGAGAAACTTAGTACTGAAGGATTGCTCCATGTCTTGGACTTTAGGGTTTTTGTGGTAGGGGTTTTTAAGCAATGTTTCATAGGTACTTGATTGGCTTAATGAATCAAATGAGGATAAGTTTTTAAAAAATGTTTTAGACATCATAATGTACAAAACAAAACTTTTCTTCAGGGTACTTTATTTTACTGTTTTAGTTCTAAAATTATTTTTATATGCACATTAGTTTTTAAAGATAATATATGTTTGCAGGACCTTCATTTTGTGGACTTGGTACACAGACATATTGCATCATGATCCTTCATAATCCCCCCTTTCCCTGCTCTCTTCCCTCTCCCTCCTCTTCCAAGACGCCTTCCCTATCTCCAGAAGGCCTGCCGCCAAGTTTTCTACCGTCTCTTCTTTCTTTTCCTTTAAGTTTTTTAGTTTTTTCATTTCATATACAACAGAAACCCACTTCTATTTAACCTTTATGTTGGATTTATTCACTTAGAATTATGGTTTCAGGATCCATTCACTTTCCTACATACGACTCAAATTCATCTTTCCTCAGGTTACTTCCTTACTCTTAATATTTTTAGAAGTGGACATACTATGATTTATTTTTTCATAGGTCCTCTTTTACTCAAATGTATGTAGCTTCCCACTCCCTATTCCTCTCCTCACTTTTGTATATATTCGTTTCTTTATGAGTAATTAGGAATAGGTGTTAGGAAGCTTGGTCTCCACTCTGTAGAAATACAACGGGCAATATAGTAGAAAAATACTGAAGAGGGAGAAGCCCTCGCTTCACCTCTGGATTCTGCCTCCTGTGATCTTTGTGTCTTATGTAAGTTTCTTCACCCGAAATTATCTGTCTGTCAGTCTATCTGTCTGTCTGTCTATCTGTCTGTCCATCTGTCCGTCCTCTTTTGGTCTTAGTATGTATGAGTCCTCACCAGATCTTTGATCTCATTGCCTCACTGTTGAGCAACCCTGAGCTGGCACTGAACAGCAGCCCTACTTAGAAAACATAGTTACTTGACTTTTCTGTAGAAATGGAAGAAATTATTATCATTTATTTGAGTGTTTCCAGTTGACTATTTACAAAGCAAATCTGTTGTTAGGTCTTACTATATAAGTAAGTGACCTTGGCACATAGTAGCCTTCAAGAAGGTTCATTCCTTATTTCAATTCAATTATGTTCATCTTGGCTTAGTTAAATGATAAGCCTGATCCTTATAGACAAAGTTCTGAGAATTAAGTGAGAAGGACTTGAAGAAAGAACCACTGGGTAGAATAACAGGTGATCAGTCCTGCACCTCCCATCTCTGTCTTACGTAACTGTCAGTTCTTGAGAGCTAACCTCTGAATTTTTGGTTACAGTTATAAAAAAATGGGCAATATATTTTCATTAGAATATATATACTTACATATACATTTAAGATATAGTTACAGTAGTTTGAGTTTCCAAGTTTTGTGCTGTTAGAGTACTTAAACTATACCATAGTTTATTACATTTTACTATGAGTCTAGGGATTTTTAAAACATGAAATCTGCTATGTACCATATTAGGAGTCAGCAGGCATAATCTCCTACTGAAGTTTGACATTATTTATGCTATGCTAGTCTTTTCTGTTGCATGTGGTAGAATTCAAATATTATCTAGTTTTTTCTCTCTTCTCTTTTCTTTTTTGTTTTCAGTACTGGGAATCAAACTCAGAGGCTCATAGGCTCTGAGCCACTGAGCCACATCCCCAGCCCCTATCTAGTGTTTTCTAATGAAAATCTTTTACATCTTGAGTTTGTAGTTTGAACTCTGTCAAGTATGTCTCACAGTAGGCAGTTGTCTGTTTCAGCTTCAGTTTGCCCTAGAGATCAGTAGATTCATAACCAACATAGTTTACTCTGGTAGGGAGCAATTGAAATTGAATTAATGAAAAAATTAAAGCTTATGACATGAGGATTAATGTGTTCATATGCAGGTGGGAAATGTGAGATTGCTTCAGTTGCTGCTTAAGAGAAGACACACAGAATATAGAAGGCATTAGAGTTCCTAGAATTTATTTTGAAAGCAATACAGCTTCATTTCCGTATTTTATATATAATGTTGCATAGCTTTTGCATTTATTATTTGTGTAGGCTCATTCTGATGTCTGTCTTATAATGGTACCTGCTCACAGAATGGGATCAACTTAAAAACAGGATTTATAGGATATGTTTATAGAATTCCTCTCTCAGACTACAGATATTTCTTTAACTCTCTAGGTGGTTATGTTAATAGAATCATTATTAATAATTATTAATCTCTTATCACGAGAGACATGATACAGATAAGGGCTTAATGGTCATATGAGATCAGATCTTTTTTACATTAAAAAAACTTTACATTTGCTGTGTTTTCTATGAGTAGAACCAAAACCTTTGTGCTATTATGTGGTTTTCAACAGGACAGAGTTTAATGACTTACATAGTAGAAACATAACTCTTTCCTATCTTCTTAGAAATTCCATGAGAATTTCTTTGAACACTAATGGGCTAGGTCATTTCAAAGTGGCTAATAAGGAACTGTCTAGTAAGTGTTACTGGCTTTTTCATTTCTCGACTAGTTTTTCCTAAGGTTTTTCAATTAGAATTTAGCTCAGAATGAACATAATTATGACATAGTGAAAAAAATTTTATGTGACAGGATTGTTAAACTTGATAAATTTTAGTGATTGGAAAACACAAAATCTTCAGATCCAAATATAGCCATTTGAGTTGCGTATGTTCATATCATCTGTATGTCACTATACACCCCGACTCAGGCTCTCCTCTGTGCCCCTCTCCCATTCCAAGAACAAAAGTACAGCTGTGGACTTTCGCAGGGGGAGAGGCAAGTCATAGGTGAAGACAGCTGGATCGTGGACTTGTACTTTGTGTCTTCATATTTTCATTCTTTTGCTACTGGGGAAAGATTAAATAAGCTTATTTCAAAAGAACAGCTGACACTAACTTTACAAAGTCAGTAATTACGTCAGTCACTATAATTCTTTGGAGCTGGTAGATTTTCTTTCACATGTATGTGGCAGAGGTCCAGTTTGTAGGGCCAGGCAAGAAGTGGGTGAATACAGGTTGGATATATGCCAAGTCTGCACACTAATCCCTGTCATCCCAGCCCTGTCCTTTTTCTTGAACTGTATCAACCAGTGGATCCTTCTTTGAAGTAGGGTAACTTTTGACTAATACAAATCAGTTATTTTGGGCATAGTGACCGTTACTGTGTTTAGTATGCGTATTTACTACAGACCTGTTTACTCCAGTGTTTGGAAATTTATATTTTACTTTGGCATTGTGGGGCAAGGAAATGACAGAACGCTCCTTGTTGGTACTGTGTTGTTATTGCCTGTAAAAGAAAATCTAGATATTTTCTCTTTGTGTCATTTGTTGGGATGACATATTTGCATTTTATACACAGTACCAGACAGTTCAGGCTGGCCTTGAGCTCACTATCCCCCTGCCTCAGCTTCCCGAGCGCTGAGATTTCAGCCACACGTCATTACTGCCTGGCTTAACATTTTCAAGCTCTTGACAGTAAATGAGCTGTATTCTGATAAATACTGTGGCAGACTGTTCCATGCAGGTACATAATACACTAAAGAGCAACAGAGGCCTGGGTGTTCCAGATTGCATGCATTTCTGTCAGAATCATTTATGTTGTTTGATTATATCAGGTGTCTTGCTTAATAAAGGAAAATCAAAGAAACTGACTACTGTGTGCTAACAGAAACCTTTTCAGGTTTGAAGTATTTCTAGGGATTTAGAAATGGCTTGAACCTTTCATTTTCTGATGATTTCTGCATGGGATCACTATGCTATTGGGAGATTGGATACCTCAGGTAGTCTTTGTTATTTAAATCTGTATTTTTCAAAGTGCAGGGTGGGCTCTAGCAATACTTTTTCCCAATATAATTAGTAAATTTTAAAATCAGAAAAATGTAAAAATCAGAGAACATTGTGACCAATGTTTTTTTCTTTAGTGAAATAGAACAGAATAAAATGTAGTTGTGTTACTGGTTCCCTAGACCAGCAACATTGGCATTGCCTAATAGCCTTTTGGAAATACAGAATCTGCTGTGTTCATATATTTATTTATCTGTGCTTTGACAAAAATGTGACATGGAAATAGAGTGTAGTAAAGTTTATTACATGTAAAAGGCATTCACTATTCAGCCTTGTGTGTATTCATGTGCATACCAGCTTGCACTTTAAAATGTCTTTCTGTGGTTGACAGTCAAATTTTAAATCCACTATTTTAAATGTGAGTGGCGATGTCATATTTCTGGTTGTATTTTTATTTAAGAGTGAATGTGTCTGCATGCACACACGTAGTTCCAAAGCTTGAATTCAGAGCCTTGTACATGCGAGGCAAGTGCTGTACCATTGATCTACATCCTCAGCCCCCTGGTTGTGTTCTTACCATTAGCTGTGAGAGAGCTATGTTTGCTTTGCTTTGATATCATCTTTAAAGTTTTCTTTGCAGTATCTCACTTTTCCTTCTATCTTGCTTTCTTCTGGTTATCTTTTATATGTTTGTGTACCTTCTTTGTATCCTGTCTGCTTGAGGCTCAGAATTGTATTCATTGTTGTTAAAACATGTAGTAAAGTTTATTACATATAAATTCAAGTTTTATTACATTAAAATTCAAGTTTTAATTTGTAGTGAAGTATGCTCAATTTACTGGAGAAATTAATGGTAATTAGCAGGATTTTTCTTTTGAATGTTCTAAGTTTCAAATTTAAAGAAGGAAATACTGAAGTTTTACCAATATGCATACTTGTTTCGTTTGTTGTCTTCCACATGTCAGACGTTATAGTAAAATTTGATTTTGGATATAATTAAATTACTGGATCTTATTTGTGTGCAAATATGCATAGCATGTTTTAAATACTGGGAAAAGAATTTTGAGTAAAAATGTGTGTATCATTGAAGTTCCAGTTGTATTTAAGGCATATAATTGTAGCTTAGTTTACTGTAGTCAGTATAGGCCAGGTAGAGAAGGCTAAGCTCTGATACCACGTGTAAGAGACATGCTGATTTCCTGGAATATGACCACAAATACAGAAAAAGCCTACTCCATGTACTCAGTGTTCGCTCCTTTGGTCCACAGTATGCAGCTCAACTTGCTGGAAACAAGCAGCTTGAAAGTATGTGCTGACTCTGTATGGCTGTGAGACCGCATTCAGTGAACAGCAAACAGTGTCATATCAAAACTTTTATTCAGTCGTCTTTAATTCGTTTTAAACATTTTTTACCACACAGCTACATATTGGGTGCTCTTCTTCATCTGATTATGCCATTTAAATTTTACTTTGTTTTTGAAGGCTGAAGCAGTGAGTTTTCTTTTAAGTTAGAAATGTTACAGGGGTGTTCCAGAAAAGGGGGAGAAATAGAAAAAATTTAAATTCTTAACTCTGTGAAAATTAAGGGCCTGATACTACATACCATTCTGTTTATTGGTTGTATCACACAGTATATTTAACAGAATTGCAAATGATTACTAAATACAAATGAGACTGACTTTGGTTATTTTTATATATATTCTATTGACAGTATGACATACATGTATTTGTTAATGTTAAATGAGTTTTCCTCTAATTTTTTGTGCATTTTCCCCCCTTTTCCATGAAGGCCTTATCTCTTTGGAGCGGGGTGTTTTTCCATAAAAGCTCCATGGTGAGTTCCCGTTCAGTCCCGCATGCCTATTTCATTTGCTGTACTCTCAAAAAGTAACTCTGTTTTGTAGTTTTGTCTTCAGTTGCATGGCCTAATCACAGATAGATGCACCAACTTATTGGATAATTATAGATAAGACACGAATGTTGATATTTAAACTTTCGAAAAAAAGTAGTTTTCTTGGTTTTACTTCATTCCTTGAAAAATACTGAAAAATCAAAATGTGTTTTAAAACAGGAGAATAGAACAATAATTCTCTCATAATGCTGGTGGGAAAGACAAGACTGACACCTGTGTTTAGAGCTTTAACTATTATAGTGATAGATGTTCCTTACATATCATGCTTAATGGAGATGAGTTAATTTATTTTGAAATATAAATATACTTAATATATAATAAAAATATTCTGTAAAGTTTTACTGCATTTTATTTGGTGCTAAAGGCACAACACTAAATTCTGTTTTGAACAGTTTAGTTCCTTAAGGAACTACATGATGAGGAAATACATATAGTATTTCATATAAAAACTCATAAGTGATTTATTATTGTGCCCCACTCACCATAATTCAGTTATTTAGTAAATTCTTTTATAGTAATGCATAGAATGTAGCCTTGTCAGTCTTAGGCATGATGACCATAGGAAATCAATTGAGGGGCTGGGGAAATAGCTCAGTGCCACAGTCCCTGCCTGGCAAGTGCAAGGTCCTGAGTTCGATTCCTGGTACCAAAAAAAAAAGGAAATAAATTGAATATGTTTCATACTTTCATTTAAAAAGTGAATTATAATGCATTAATAATTTGATATAAAATGTTTTAGTGGTTAGGAGTCAGGGCTCCAGCATCAGACTATCTGTGTCTTACATCCCAAAGTTATATGATCTTGGGTAATTTTAAAAAACTTTTTTGTTTCTTGCTTGTCTTATTTATTAAATGAAATGAGTAGTAACACCTACCTTGTTGGTTCATTGTGAGGATTAAATGAACTGATCACACACACACACATTTCAGAATGTAATAACCCTGCCTACACATAGGAACTTCTTGTTAAATGATAGCTAACTGTAGTAGTGCCTCTCACCCAGTTTAAGGAGTAAATACCATTTTGGAAAAATATGCTTCTTTAAATTAGAATGTATTATTTGCTTTTAGGAACATATAAACCAAAAGGAATTTTTGAGAAATGTAAGGTGCATAAGTTTTACTACATTAGGAAACAAGCAAGACTTCTGCACATATATGTGTAGTTCTCATAACAGTGACTGGGAATTATTCTTTGTGTCATCTTATACTAGAAGCAACATTTTGTTTTCTCTTGTGGACAAAAAGAAGTTTAAATAGTTCTTTAAAGCTGATTATTATTTGACTCCACCTATGCTCAGTGTTCAAACGCCAGCAGAAAGTCTGAAATTTTTGTTGTCACATAGGAATGGGTGATGTAAATAACCATAGTGTAATCCTCCTTGAAACGCAGCATCATACGTAGGCCAGGGTGTGCAAAACTGTTGTTAATAGTCTCAGCGCACTCAGGAGTCAAACCTTCAGAAAGTCTGTCTTTATTCTTTTTGTTAAACAGATTTCTTCTAAAAACAAGTAAGATACACAGATCTTACAAACTTACAGTGAGCAGTGAATTTTAAATGCTACATTCAACGTATGACAAAGTTTCTTTGTATACTGAACTTAGAATTAAATTCCATTTTAGGATACATTCCTCATTCTAAGTACAAAGAACAGAATTTTAGTATGTTAATAAAGACTGAAGTTTTCACGTAGAACTACAGATGTAACAAATGTTGTATGTTAAATGAGAAAGGTCGTTCCTCCAACAGCTTATGTGCTCCTCGCATTTAAGCAAAAGCACTTGTCAACCAGAAATGATTTGAGGTTGAAACAAGATTAAAAGAGCCAGATTAAAGAGGGGGATATATGAAATATAGTAGACTTTTAAATCATTGCCTGTCTTTTAGAAGACTGCTTTGTGGTTTGTTTGATGCCATCGTTAGCTCACAAGAAATGCGTTTTTAGTCACTTATACTAGACTAAAAGATCCTCCTTTAAAATATGTTACATTTCCAGGGGTGCATGTTTTTTCCATTAAGATCTTAATGAAACCTCAAATTAAGGCAGCAAAATGAATATAAATTTGACAACTTCTTCCAGGTTGTTTGTAAGAGCTCCTTTGTTTTAATAGTTTTTGATATTTTTCTATTCAATTTGAGAATGTTTTTATTTACTATTCTGAAATAAAAAGTTATGCAAAATAAACATTTATAGCACTTTAGCTGTAGGCAAATATATGTATTTTGGATACAAATGAAATTTATAATTTCCCTTAAAACGTGAATTTCTTTTTTATGAGTTTCAAGTTGCAGCATTTGCATGTAGTTAAGAGTTTGCTTTTGGTATGTCACAGTTTCTATTCCTTCTTTATTCTTCACTAATAGGGTTTAGTTCTGTAAATTCATGTAGCCTCATGTGAGACAGTTTTAAAATAGTGTCTTTCTCTTTGATATCACAAGAGTGTGTTAGACAGTAAAGTGCCCAGGCTCCTGGCCGTTGTAGTCCGTTTAGACTTTCCCAGTATTTTGTGTCCTCTAGGTCATGCGTGCCCCAGCCGGCTGTTTATCCTTCAAAGCTCTAAATGTTCACCATCACTGCTCAGGGTTATCCTTTGATTTTGAAGGACTGCATGAAACATGAAAGAATTACACATGAACATACTTAGTTAACTGTAGAAATTTAAGAGAAACAAGCCAGTGAAGATTTTTAAGTTTTGACTTCAATATTACCAATGTGTATGTGGTGTAATGTAAATTGCTTTTAAAAAATACATATATGCACATAACAGATGGACAGGAAGTAGTTCATATCAAAATATCTTTCATACACTGTTGTTATATTATTAAAGGTTAAATGTAAAGAAAAATTAAATTTTATAATATCAAATTAGATTGAAAGTTTTAATTAGCACTCTCCAAGAGTACTTGATTATAGTATAAATAGTTCATATAAATTTTCTGGAGACAACTTCAAAATTTTATGATTTTTTGAATGGTAAGATTTATGTGGAGAGTCAATTTTTTTCCTACTAATTTTATGTAAGTCTGTTAGCCCTTTCAGAATTGTTTGTGCCAAAAGAGAGTAAGTTTATGTCGATTATTAATATTCGTCATTATTTAGCATAAAGTATTTCCAGTTCTTTCTCCAAGGCCTTATTTTAGAAAATAAAATTGAGAGTGAGAGAAAGCTTAAAAATCCTTAGAATGTTTAATCACAGGGAAAGAATATAAAGAAAATAATTTTACTGAAAACCCATTATACGTCCTGCACTTCTCAAGTTAATATTGTGTGTCACACTTAAATTGAAATACTCACTGTGCACTAATGTTTTCAGAAAGGAGTGAATTGGTGCTTCTATCTCATGTTAGTTCCTTCCGTGCTTGTGTCCGTTCCACCAAGGCACCAGCCCGCATCACTGCTTACCGTGTCATCCACATGTACACCACATACATCCCATCCTGTGCTACCTGGTAAAATTACCCAGCTGGAGATCATTGTCCTGTATGTTTTAAGAAGATGTCAGGGTTTTTTTTTTTTTTCCTATTTGCAGTTAAGTGGGGAGAAAAGACAGACAAGACAAATTCAATATGTTGATCTGACTGGATAACATAATGCAATGAAAGCAAAGGGAGAAAGAAGGGAACTTCAATAGCTGATATAAATATTTTTGAAATCCCAGAGATGTTTATATCTCTACACTTCTGTTGGCAGTAACTCGTATTCTGCTGTTTATTAAGCCTTTCCTCGGAAAAAATGACAGTTGAACTCCTGATTTTTAATTTAGCACCTTATTTGTTTATTTTAATGTTTGTTTTTATGTCTATTTTCTCATATTAATTTCTGTATTTGACTCAGTAAATATGTTGTTTTGCAATCATCATTATTTTTCCTGGTATGGTGAATGGAGGTTCCAGTCCATTTTTCTTTTATGTTTTGCCCAAAGTGAAACTAAATTTGCAGAGAAAATTGAGTATGAGGTTATTTATAAAACATGAAAGGGAGGAAAGAGGCAGAAGAGTCTATCAGGACCGTTAATATGTTTTGTTCTCATCTGTGGCCATGTAAAAAAATGAATTAGTCCACATAATCAACCCAGTTAAACCTGTTGGCACCAGTATAAATTAAGATAATTACTTTTATATCATTGTAGTATCAGTTTAATAAGTGAATAAAAAAGAGAGGGCCTCGAAACACCCAAAGGAATTCTGAGTTCATGTTCTCTAGTAGGATTTGTTGCAGCCTCTTTCCCAGAAGAAGACAGGATGAGAGCAAGAAAGAAAAAGTTAATATTAGAGTGCTTTCCTATATAAGAGTTGTGTCACCAGCCTGTAAATTTACGTGATTTACAAGGGTACCCCTTTCCTGTTTCATTCACGTATATATCATTTTTCAGTGTTTTCTTTCTGTCAAAAAAAGGGTGCTTTGCAATCCAAATACTCTGTGTCATTGTGGAAAAGCTCATACATAGTATGTCCCATGTATTAATAGAAAAGCCATTCTGCTTCAACCAAACATTCCTGGACACTGTCTTTTTAAAACAGGATAAAGGATAAATGGAGCCAAACTTAAAATTTCTCACTTTGGGTATAGCACATAGAAAATATTTTATTAATAACATTCTTTTCTTTCAATTATTTCTCTTTTTTATCCTTTGTTAGTCCTACATATACATGCACATATTCTTGTTTCTATTTTGCCCAGATATCCAAATCGTTCCGGACGTAGCTTGATGACAGAAATAACTTGATATGAATGTATTTATCCATGTGCTACACCCCCGTTCCAGAGCAACTGTGACCTGTAGTGGACAGCAAGTTATTTTGAGGGATGTAAACTCTTGATTCCTTATTAAACCTGATTTTCTGCTGAGGACATTGATTAAGGTTCTGTCAGAGGAAAAGAAGAAGAAATGATGAAATGTGAAAATAAAAGTGACAGTTCTTTACATAAATTAAGCATACTTTTACCATAAAATGCTTATATTCTCTGTGGGAGATAGCTTGTGTAAAAGGACACTGTATTTATGCTTTTTTTTTACTTCTGTGTTTCAAAATTGGATTATGTGTAACTTGTAGAAGCCTAACATATTTTAGCTTTTGGCATGGGCTTATTAGACTATAAGCTGAGAAGCGTATAGAGTATATCTTTGAGTGTCCAAAGACTTACTTAGATCTTACCGTTTTTCTGTTCTCTATGATTACAGGATGGTCATCTAGCCAGGTACCAATTATTTTAAAGTTTTTCTATAGGAATATGTTAGAGGAACCGTATAGTCTCTCAAGAAATGGCATACTCACTACTTACCACTTGATTTAAAAACAACAACAAAAATCACATGTAGTAATTTGCAGAGAGCTTTGAACTTGTCTTTGTGAAGCTTATTTCTACATTGTAGTATCATTGTTCCCAGATGGTAATTCTGGTAAAAGCACATACTCATACAATTACAAACACCTTTCAAAATTTTTTGGAATGATTTCTTCTTTCCAGTTCCTCCCGAGCCTCTGAAGACCCCTGAGGATTAAAAATGACCAGTGGTCCCACGGATGCTATTTATAGGAACTTGTCTGCTCAGTGATCACAGTTCAGTGATGAAGGGAAAAAAAAACTTGCAAGGAAGACATACATTGTAAAGTAACATAACAGAGGGCATCATAAACAGAAAGAACAATCTGATTCCAGTGACCCACGTAGCCGAAGAATGTGCACCTTCGTTGAGGTGGAGTATAGAGGGAGTCTTTTTTTCTGAGGTAGGTTAGTGCAGCTGTGGCAGACGAAACTGTGAAAAGGGAAACTGTGAAAAGGGAAACATTCATTTCTTTACAGAAATTTTAAAAAAAGTCTATGCCTTTATTCTATTCTCACTGGAAGTCTTACTGTGACTGTGTTGCCATTCTAGGCCTGAGTGTGATTTGTTCGGGAAGTGATATGAAGTATTTAGTAGATGTCAGTGCTGGAAAGAAGGAGCTTTTTCATATATAGCAATGTGCATTGCCGTGGATTTTGTTCAAAGAAGGAGACCAGTGGGATCAATCATGTAGCATCTGATACAGACTTTTATTTCTTCTTAGAGGAAAGATATCAAAACAGAAGCTTCAGAAAAAAGACACCTGAGAGACCATCTGAATTTTCATAGGATTTGGGAAAGTAGATTACCAAAGCACAATCTGATTTTTAAAAAATTAGGTGAAAGCTGTCAGCTTTGTAGATGAGCAGTAATGTTGCTTGGGTACAGTGATGTGAGAAACTGCCTCCCTGGGAGCTTTACTTTCTTTACCTAATGCAGTTGTTTTCAAACTTGAGCATACATCAGAATCCCCTGGAGGGTTTGCTTAAAAACATACTTTGATGGCCTTCAAACCCCATATGTTTGGTTTAGTTTGTCTGGGAAGGGACCTGATCAGTATTATTTGCCTGTAAATCTCAGAAGTTACTAAGTATTATTACTAGCCAGGGATAAGAATTTAGAAACCTACAGTCTTTAAGATAACCCTATAAGGTAGGCATTATTTTTTGTATTTTATATGTTAATAGTCTGAACTTTGAGAGGTTAATTTTAACCAAAAATCACATACCTAGTAAATGGCAGCATTGGGATTTAAATTGAAGTTTCCTCCTAACTCTAGAAACCTCTTTCCATCCCAGCATATTCTATGAAAGATAACGGGATAAAGTCAACTGAACGTAAGAAGATAGAAATCAGTGTGTGGTGGTGCTCACCTGTAACCCTAGCTACTTGGGAGGCTCAGGCAGAAGTATTTTAAGTATTGCAAGTTGGAGCCCAGCCCAGTAATTTAGGAAGATCCTGTGTGAAGATATCAAGCATGGGGGATGTAGCTCAGTAGGAAAGTGCTTGACTAGTATGTGTGAGGGCCTAGATTCAGTTCCCAAACCACACACACACACACGTGTGCATGCACACACACTAAAAAATATTGTTTTACATTGGAAATTATCCTGCAGAGCTGGAGCATCAGAGGTATAGCATTCATTGTATCCCATCGAGGCTGTGATCATTACCAGTGCACACTAAGCCAATTTTTCTGGTCTCTGAGTTACAGCAAGTAATTTATCTAAGGTGGTTGATAACAATTGCTATGACTTAAAAAAATTGCTCCGACTTAGGCATGATGGTACATGCCTATAATCTCAGCCTTGCGGGGCCGAATCAGGAGGACTGTCGTGAGTTCAAGGCCACCTGGGGCCTACATAGTGAGTTTAAGGCCAGCCTGAACTACGTAGCAAGACTGTCTCAAAAAACCAAACCAAATAAAATAAAATTTAAAAGTCTAAAGAGATCAGAAATAATAGGATTTGAAAGGATATGAAACATTAGTATTAGAGTTTATGAAATTTTTGGTGGAGAATAAATAGGAAAGCAAATCTTTTTTAATGAAAGTCATTGGAAACATCAACAGTTCTAAATGTATCCTCAGACTTAGAAAAAACAGAAGAGATTTATGTTAGAGAGGTTACCAGTTTTGATATCTGCCTTGGCTCTTTTCCCAAACAAAAATACATTATTTTCACAAATCCAAGAAGAAAAAGGACTGTAAGACTATTGAATATAACTTCAGTAGGTCATTAGATCTTTTCTAGGTTGTCTGACTCTACATAGCATTGTACTGAGGGCATTTTCAAAGTTCTCTAGCATCTCATTTTCGTATGTACTGTCTCCATTCACTGTATTGTGAGTCTCATGTCTTATATATCAAAATGAAACGATAGCCCATTTATTGTTGGAGCATGTTTCATGCTGACACTTTTGTTCCATTTAAAAATCTGCAGGGAAATGTTATCCATCTGAAAAGAAGTAACTTAGATTTCACCGATAAAAACTTCAAAAAGTGGTTTTGTTTTGTTTTGAGGTGGGGTCTTGTTATGTTGACCAAGGTGGCTTGAAGTCCTGGGCTCAAGGGCTGCACTGCTCAAGTGATGTCTCTTACCCGTCCTCAGGTCCTTAGTAGCCGCAACCATAGATGTACCCCTCTGCACCTAGCTAAGAATTTTGTTTTTATTGGTCTTACATAAGTTTTCTTGTCCAGATGTTGGAACTTTGACTAATGTCAATTTTGCTGCAGAACACAATCTCACACCACCATTTATTACAACCAAATGCATGTCCTTATTGTAGCATTTAATCACGAGGAAGAACTGAAAGGGAAATCAGTCTCTAGAGGACTGCCATTTCATCACAGTAATTTTTTTTTTAACTTTCCTTTTATTTTTTTAAGCAAAGTTAAACCACCTCCACAAATTTCACCCAGCAAATCCGTAGGCGGAGAATTTTGTGTGGCTGCTACATTTGGGACATCCAGGTCATGGTTTGCGAATAACGCGGGTCTGAAAAGGGAAAAAGGTATGTATTTTTTCTGAAGCTCAAACTTGCCATTTGTAATTTTTGCTTCATAATGAAAATCTTGTACCAAATAGTCTTTCTAGTTTTTACTAAAGGAAAAAATTTTCCCATTCAGTTAGCATGTCTGTCCTCAACTACTCAAACCTAGTGAAGAGGAGAAATTATCCTCACATAAGCATGAATTCCCCACTGACTGATGTTGTCTTGTTTTGTTTTGTTGATAACAGTGGCTAGGTGATCTCAATCTGATTAACTCTGTATCATTTCATTCTATAACTTGTACATTTTTACAAGCTAATTTCATACCTTTATCCTTGATGTATGGAGAGGAAAATCCTTGTTAAGCTCACTTTAGAGAGGAAGAATTTGAGATCAGGAAGTGTAACTAGCTTAGCTAAAAACTCTGTTCAGTACTGTAGATGATGAAATTAGTTTGAACATGTTTTCTCATGTTAAATCTTAAAGCACTAACAGCTGTGCTGTTTTTTAACATGCTAGAAAAGCCTGTCACTGAGAATTAAGTGAACTTTTGTTGTTACTATTGCTCCTTTGAGTTGATAAAGTTATTAAGTTTTTAATCCTTGGTTTAATTGCTGCAGTTGATACCGATAATGTTTGTATCATCAGTGTTTTAGTATATGGTTCCTTATTGTCTGTGTATGGAAGAGAAAGCCTACGTTCGCTGAGGAAGTGTGTAATTTTGAATGTTAGGACCTTTCATTACTATTTTAGTATTATTAAATTAGGTCACAGATTGAGTTGCCACTAGAGAGTACTTTTGGTGAGTTCCACGGCCTGTATTGTTCTTGGCAGAACGGCTTTGCTTTACACTTAATACTGCCAGACACCAGCCCTTTCTCTTGTTATTGCCATTCAGTGAGCCTCTCTGTAGTAACAGGATCTCAGGAACAACAGGTTCCTTACCTAAGTGGCGTAGAATACTATAAAGTATGTAAGCCTTCCATTTCCTTATCCCATCTTCATGTTTTTGTTACCTCCTTAGGTTTAGTGATGCTATCGAAAGGACTTTTGTTACTAGTTAAAACCTTCTGTGAAGCTCGATTTCAAATGCTTCTCCCTTCTGTTCTAATTACCCTTTTAACTTGCTCCTCCTTTATGTTCCACTCGCTGGTCATTAGCCATTTTCTCAAATCAGCTGTAATTGATTCTCCTGACACAGAGATAAGATGACCCGCCCAGCATTCATGAGTGATTTTTTTAAAGTGCCCCTTGGTTTACTGTAAAACCTGAGCTCGAGCACTAAACCTGTTTTGCCAGTGAGTACATGTGTATTTCTTATAAAGTCATTTGATTAGATCCATATTTACCACCTGACTTCTCAAAGTATAGCTGACCTTCACTTACGATGGGAGCCAGTGATTCAGTTGAGAGAAAAGAGGTTGAGTGAGGAGGATTCATGTGTGTATGTTTTTAAAACACTTTATCTCTTCTAGCACTTTCAGGTTCACAGCAAAATTGAGACAAATGTACAGAGAAATCCCCTCTACCTCCTCTACCAGCACATGTATCGCTTTCTTCATTATTAACGTCCTCATTAGAGTGGTAGTTTTATTTCAGATGATGAGCTTATATTGCACACATCATGTATTTTTATTTGTTTTGATCCAATAATCAAGGATTTAAATCTATGTTTTCTGAGAAAAAGTAGCTGAGGTGTTAGACTGATGGAGGTGTGCAGATAGCCTCTCTCTCGTGTAGTTTAGTTTGTCTGTCCAGTGCATGGATTGCTGCTTTTTGGTTAGTCCTTCCTTGTTCCCTCTGATATCATTCATTTTCCATAACTGGGACAAATTACATGGTAGACAAGTGGAAAAGTGTAGAATATTGTCAACCACAGTAGGATTTTGAGCATACATATATTATTCTTGAAGTAGTTGCGTATTATTTGAAAATACTACGATAGCATAGAGATTTTCACTTTCATTAGCATCTACTTAATAGGAAGCAACCTTTAGCCAAGGATTAGGCACAATCTGACAAAGGTCCCGCCTTTTCATTTCATGATAAATACCTTCATCACGCCTTTTCATTTCCTCTCAGCAGCCTGAGGAGCAGAGTGACAAAGTCAATAATTTGTAAAGAAAATAAAAACAAAAATAAAAAAGAAAGAAAGAAAATATCTTGTTATGTTGTTTTCTATGGCATCACCACCCACTCAGATACTGTTTCTCTGTTTGTAGATCAGTCCAAACAGGTTGTCGTTGAATCTCTCTACATTATCAGTTGCTATGGCACCTTGGTGGAGCACATGATGGAGCCCCGACCCCTCAGCACCGCCCCCAAGATTAGTGATGACACTCCACTGGAAATGGTGACATCCCCTCGAGCCAGCTGGACGCTGGTTAGGTAGGGTCTTCTTTTTCATTTGTTTGTTTTCTTTCTTTTTAGAAATAGCTTTATTGAAGTCTGGATGATTAAAAATGTCCAATTTGATAGTTTTGGCAAATGCTTAAAACTCTGAAATTATCACAGTTAATATGATAAATACCTTCATCACGCCTAAACGTTGGTTTGCAACCATTGCAATCTTTTCTTTTGCCCCTCTTTGTCACAGAATTATGTACAAATGGAATCATGTATGTGCACTGTTTTTGTCTGGCTTCTTTCATGTAGCAAAATGACATAGTTTATTGCTTTATCATTTGACATATAATTTACATGCAATGAAACTCAACCACTGTGACTTCATACTAGTATACCCACTGCTCGAGCAGTCTTCTCCCCAAATGAAGCCCTATACCAGTCCCTCTCCATCTTCCCCTAACCCTTCAGCTGTAATCACCCACCAGTTTACATTCTGTCTCTGCTGTAGTACTTACATAATAACGGAATTGTATAATATGCTACCTTTTGTGCCTGGCTTCTTTCACTCAGTATTGTTTTCAGAAGGCCCATCTGTGTTGTTGCTATGTATCAGAACTTAATTACTTTTCATAACCAAGTGATACTCCTTTATATGGGTATACCACATTTTGTTTATCTGTTCATTAGCAGGTGGACATTTCCACTTTTTAACTATCATTAATGATGTTGCTATGAACTTCGATGTACAAAGTTTGACATTCGTGCATTTTTGTCTTAGGCATATATATTACGGAATTCTCTCTGCATGTTTGTATTATCTTTTCTTGGACTTGTGCTTCCTCATTTGTAGTCTCATGCTCACTGAATATAGAGAGTAGCATTGAAATTTCCATTGAGGGGAATAGAAACTAATATAAATAGATTTGAAGGTTTCCTTTCAAGTGATTCTCCAAGATACAATGGTTAAGCACTGTAGAAATGTTTATTAAGAATCAAAGGCCATCTCAAAAGTGCATGATGATCAGAATCTCAGAATAATATATCGCAGAAAGAGAGAAATGAAACGTGGACTAAAATCTGCTCAATACAGTGCATTGTCCAGGAGACAAAAAATTGCTTCTGACGTGTATGGAAGGAAACAGACAAAAATGGATATGAAAATGATCCCTCTCCTTTTGACATTTTAAAATATTCTTGTATTGATTTTTGGAGGCTCCAGCATTCTTTACTACTACTTTACTGTGCTGGACTGATCTGATCAATATCTGATTTATCAAGCTTAGATAGAACTGGGCAGATCTAATTAAAGTTACTGAGTATCATTGTTGAAATGGTGGCTTCTTTTGGAAATCAGATGCTAATTAGATGTGTACTATATCATCCATTTACACAGCTGTGTTTTATTTTTACCATTTTTTACCTGCCTCATTTCATTTTAAAAATATACACATATTCTTTGAACAGAGAAGTCTAACACTAGTTTAAAAATTACATAAATAGAACTACGTAGCTGTTGCATTTGAATTCTATACTTTGTAGTCCATCTTTTCAACATCTTATCTATCTAATAGGAGACTATTGCTATTAAGATAATATTGACTCCGTGTGTTCATTGTATGACGCATGGCCACTTTTTATTGTTTTTTAAAATAGATGACCTTGTGTTTCAGCACATTTGTTTTAATGATTACAAGTTCATTTTAATGAACAGAAAATAGTGTGAGTTTTTATCAGTGTCTATAAGTGATGACAGTTGTGCTGATTTGCCTCCCATCTATGAAACTTTAAATATTAACATTCTTCTGCTGATTTCATAGAACACCTCAATGGAATGAATTGCAACCACCATTTAACGCAAACCACCCTCTTCTCCTCGCTGCAGATGCAGTACAGTATTATCAATTCCTGCTTGCTGGTGGTAAGTTCTGATCGTTTTTTCTTCTGTATGGGCTTTTCAGATTTTGTCTTCAAAAAGTGCGAACTTTTAAAGCATACGTGCACATTACCATTGGTGTACAGGCCGTCATCTTTGGATAATCTGACTGAGACAGTGAAGATACTTAATAAAACTATAATCCATACCTTATGGCATATAAAATGTATCTCTGATGAGAACACATAAGTTGTTGGGGAATATTTGATGGGCTCAAAAAAGAAAAAAAAAACTTCATAACTCAGAACTACTGGGATATACTAAACCATTTCATAAAGCTTTGGATCTGTCTCTCAGAGGCAAAAAAAATTCAGCACCTTTTTTCACTGTGAAAACTGCCAGCAGATTTTTCTTTTTGTAGAATTCTACTTGCAATAATGAAGTAATGATTTCAACTCATTGCATATCCCTCCTGCGTTATTGGGCTTCTAACCCAGGGCCTCAAGCGTGGAGCAGGTGATCTACCACCGAGCTGCTCTTCTGTGTACTTGCTTTTGTATCTGAAGCATAACATTTGTAGAGACTGAACAGGGTTCATTAAAGATAGGTCCATAGCACCCCACCTTTTTTTCCATGGGAGGCATGAAAACACAATTTAATATTTATTATCCAGTTTGTGTTCGTAGAATTAAAAATTCTTTACAATTATAATTCAATTTTTTAGAATGGACTGAATCCTAATTCATCTTGATGGCTTTTGAGTACTGCATGTTTTTAAGAAGCTTCCCAGAAATCAACATTGACATGTTTTTAATAGAGTTTTCTTGTATTCAACTTATTATGTTGCCTAGTATATTATAAAGTATGAATTAAAATAGAACTAGAAATATTTTATTTCATTTTCGTAATGTGTTACATATTATGCTAGAATCTGAAAAACATTATGGGCTTTGGTCTATGGTTATGAAGCTCCACAGCTATAATAAATAGTTGGCAGTCTTGCACCATGCTTAACCTAGCGCTTCTTGTAGTACATGTTCATCAAGTGCCTACTGTGTGTCAGGCACTTGAAATCCTAGGCATGTAATGTGTTGCTTCTGTACCCAGTTCACTTTCACGTTTGGGAGATGGACCTTTAATAAATATGGGTAGGGAGCTACAGGAGCAGTGCTGTGACTTCCCAAAGGCATCACAGAGTGGTAAGATGTCAGTGCTTTTTAAATTTGTTCAAGAAGCAGAGTATATAAGTATATAGAAATTCTTAGTTTCTGGGTTTTTAAAGCATAGTTAACTTACATATGCACTGAGAAAACCATGACATAATACAAGATATTAAAAAATCATTAGTGCTTTCTCTGTTACCTTTCAAAAGTGGCAAAAATAGCTAATTATTGAATTAAACACAGTCGACCCAGTTTATATTGTTGTTGTTATTTTGGTACCTCCTCTGTCTATTTAGTAGAGAAACAATAAGTTCAAATTATTTAAGAAGATATTAAGCAAAAAAATCCTCCATTCTTAATATTTTTTCTAATGAGTAAAGTGGTTCATATTACTTGATTTTAAGTAGCTTTACTCTATGGACAAAAATCCCTAGGTACATAGTTTAAGAACCCCTGCTGTCAGTCGTATGAAGCCATCAGATATTGTCACCACTAGAGTCAGATTTTATTTGCTTTAATTAATTCAGTAGTTTGGAGGTGCAGGGCACTAGAGGCCCGGGCCGAGGCCTTCCGTATGCTAAGTATCCAACAACTGAACTGCATTCCTGACCCTACTGAATTCCATTTTAGCTGCCTCCTGGGGCAGCAGTGCAGCAGGAGAGTCAGAGGAAGGGATTGGAAGCTGGGTGATCCCTGAACAAGAAGGGAGCTTTAATTACGAGAAAGAATTCGATCGAGAGTCCTGGATATGCCCGTACATTATATAACTGAAGCTTTAAGTAATGCAGATGTGGACATTTGGGTCAGAGGAATAATTGCCTGGAATACCATTGGTTAAAGCTGTACTTTAGCTGCTGATCTGCAAGTTCTGACATCAATCAGAAGACTTCATTATTGTGTAGCTTTCTTTTCTCGTTCCCTCATTGAAAAGTGTTCATTTGAAAAGGTATTCTACTTTTTTTTGTTCGTTTGTTTGTTTCTGGTACCGGGAATCGAACTCACAACCTTGCGCTTGCCAGGCAGGTGCTGTGCCGCTGAGCTAAATCTCCAGCCTAGGTATTCTACTTCTTAAAAACAAGTAGGGTAGACCTGATATTAAAGTTCTCTCTTTCTTTTTTTCTTAGCCATCCTTATTTAAAATTATCTCATGACTAGGAATGTCACTCACTGGTAGAATGCTTGCCTAGCATGCCCAAAACAAAGAAAGAAAGAAAGAAAATTAAAAAAAAAAAAAGAAAGAAAGTACATCACATATTAATTCCCAACCTGAAGACCTTGATAAATACCTTTTAAAAATTACTTTTATGTTGCAGAACTCTCATGTAGGCTTTACAAATGTTGCATGCATTTTCTATTCTTGTATTTGAATGTTGGATGAAATGAAGCCAACTTTTACAAACTCCGGAAATTATAATAATAGTAGACAAAGAATGATGTAAATGGAAATAGGAAAGAGACTTTGTCTCAGGGAGAAGAGAGTAGGCGAGCAGGATGTTTAACAAGGAATCCCCACTCCCATCCCAGTCCTGTAATCATAATAAATACGCTATTAGTTGATAAACAGAGTTCTGCATATGAGGCAAAAGGTTGGCTGGTGGGAGAAAGAAAAGGGAAAAGTATCCCAAAACACCAAAGACTTTCCACCTACCTTTAAAGTGAAATCTGTAAAAAACTCCAAATTCTATATTCTTAACAAAAGCAGCTAACTATTCCTTTGTATGAGAGTTGAGTAGGATGACCAAAAGTGAGAATTACTGATACTTGTCCAGTAGGTTTTTGTTAAATTAGATCATAGTGGGATGGCTCTTATAGAAATCACAGTAGTCGGGCATGGTGGCACACACCTGTAATCCCAGCACTTGGGAGGGTGAGGCAGGAGGATTGCTGTGAGTTCGAGGCTAGCCTGAACTGCATAGTGAAACTCTGTCTCAAAAAAACAACAACAACAAAAAAAAACAAAAAAAAGAAAAGGAAAGAGATCATAAATAGAGGCAGAGATGATACAAAATTGCTACTTTTAATAAAATAAAAAGTGTAGTATCTACAATTTCTGTATGTCTCAACCTAGTTGATTAGGTAGTTTATATATGAAAACTAAATGCATGGATGGTATTTTGGTGTTTAACTCAGTAAAGGTGAAAGTCAAGAATCTATAGTCCAAGTTCCCCTTGGATATAAAATTTTAGTAGAATAGTTTTTAAAAAGATTCATGGTTTTTATGTCAACACTATATTTTACTTTGAAAATAAAAGTTACATACTATAATTACCTTTTTTAATAAAGGCATTTTACTGTAGTGTATTCCATTGCCAAAACAAAGCTAAAACCTTTGAACAGACTAATAAATATCAATCAGTTTTGAATGTGAACCCAAAGTAGATAATAATTTTTTCTTTAGTTTGCTCTCAATCTTCCAAATTGTAAATTAAAAGCAGAACTTACTGAGTTGACTTGGGAAAACTTTATTTAGAAGGAAAATATACTATTTCTCTTCCTTTTCTTTCAGGTAATTTGGCCACAGTAGTATTTTTAAGTTGCTGACATTAACAAGTTTTAGCGGAGTAGGTGTCAGACTTTGGACTTTATCCAAAATAATCACTAGATACGGGATCCCATGTGAATCTATGGTTCACAGAAGAAATCATAAGCGAGGTTAGAAGTTATTTTGTTTCTTTTCTTTTTTTTTTTTTTTTGGTACTGGGAATTGAACTCAGGACCCTGTGCTTGCCAGACATGTACTGTGCCACTGAGTTATATCCCCTAGCCTCTAGAAATTATTTTGAATTGAGTGAAGTTGATACTTGATACCAGAATATATGCATATCTTAGAATATTACACTTCTATTTCTTATTTTTTATTTTTTGGTCTTTTTGAGACAGGGTCTTGCTATGTAGTTCAGGCTGGCCTTGAGCTCACTTTGTAGCCCAGGCTGGTCTTTGAACTTGGAATAGTCCTCTTGCCTCAGCCTCCCAAGTGCTGGGATTACAGGCATGTGCCACTATGCCCAGCACAGAACATTACACTTTTAAACAGTAGATATAGCACTTTGACTCTCAAGGAAATTGTGCCAAATGCCATCACAAAATTATGGGAACAGATTAGTGGTGACCAAGGGTTTAGGTACAGGGTGGGAAAGAGAGGGAGGAATGTGCCTTTTCAAGATAGAAATTTGTGGTGATGGAGCGATTTCATATCTGGACTGTGGTGCAGGTTATACAGATTGACACATGCGATAAAACGGAATCAACCCCTCACATGATACGGATTTGTTTGTAAAGCTATATAGAAAAGTGCTGCCATCTGAGTGAAGTTTTTGAATTCTATCAGTGGCAGTTTCCTAGTTCTGCAAAAGATGATGGGGACACAGAATATCACTATACTATTTATGCCTCTGTAATCATTTCCAAATAAAAATTTAAAAAATAAAAATTGTGAGATGACATTACACCAGGACTTAACACCTATTTCCGAACTAACTGACCATTTTAGATGAGAGAATGGTCTGGAATCCATGGCCTCAGCTTTCACACTGAGAAACAAGAAAAAGTGGAACAAGTTAAAGCAAAACCAGGAAAATAAATAATAAAGATCGGAGCGCAAATTGATGAAACTGAAAATATAAAGATAATACAGAAAACCAATGAAACAATAGTGTGGCTTTCTTCCATTTGGGATTTGTGGTATTTGTGGATCTGTGTGTTTATAGTTTTCTTCAAATTTGACAATTTTCATTAAGTTCTACTTTCAAATATTTTTTTCTGTCTTTCTCCATCTTTTGACTCCAGTTATGCTGACCACTGGATAATTGCCTTCCTCATTGAATTAGTGTTCATTTTCTCTCAGTCTGACTTTCCTCCCTGTTTTTGTATCATTTTTAATTC